AGCCTTAAATTATGTTCACATAAGTGTATCCTCTTGTAACTTGTGTAGCTGTGACAGCTGGTAAGTCATCTGATTGTACCTCACAGTGCTTTACTGTGTTGACATCAAGATACATATTTTCATTATTGAGAATTTCCAACCCAGCTTCCGTAGGGAAGGATTGGTCAGCACCTCATAATGTGAAGGACGGCGTTACTGGTGAATGGGGGTGGATGCTGGAGCTGTGCCTGCTGAACTTGTATATATAACGTTATCTCTGTTGGGAAATACTTGCAAGTTCCAGTACAGGACTCCAGGAATACACATTGCTTGAGAGCTCTTTGTGTCCCAGGGCAGCCTGGCTAAGACCCAAGACCCCTTTGAAGTAGCAGACTGACTTCAAAGAGAGTAGAGCCTCCTCTGATAGCAGGGGCAGAGGAGGAAGAGCACTGGCTTGGAGTCAGGCTGATAGTGGATTCCAGCCCAGCCTCTTACGTGCTGTGTGACCTTCGGCAAGGTATCTAATACTCTCTGTGCCTCTGTTCCCTCATGTTTAAAGCAAGGTGAGATCTTACAACACATGAAAGGAAATTGAAGGTACTCTGAATATTAGCTCTTCTTACATGTAGAAAATGGATTTTTCATTCCCTTTTGTTCTTTCCACTCTTAATATGGAGAAATGAGCTATTGTGGTGACGGGAGGGAGGGGCTGCCCTAGAAGCAGTTTACTGTGTGTATGGTATGATTGTTAGTTCTTAGTTGGGAATCGCCTCTGTTAATATCCTTTGACAGTCCTCTTGCATCCTCTTCTGTTTGTCCATACGAGCAATAATATGATTATGGTGGAAGTGTTCACTCCTCTGACATTCTTTGAACCTGCCTGAGCTGTCAGTGGAACAGATAGGAGGGGTAGAGTTTTGTTGCCATAGTTCGCTCTTTGGACAAGTGCCTGACATCTGCTTCATTGGGTTTTAGCTTTTACTGGTGTTGGTGCTTTTATCTGTCATATCCAAGCACTTCAGAACTTTCATTACTTCTCCTTTGCAGGTTAATACGGCTGCAAAAGGGCCCCCTCCTTTTCCAGGGGCACCCCTCATGAGCTCCCCCGTGGGAGGCCCTCTACTGCCGCCCATTCGATACGGACCACCTCCTCAACTCTGCGGGCCTTTTGGGCCTCGGCCACTTCCTCCGCCCTTTGGTATGATGATTGAACGGTAGTAATGGACTTGTGAAGTGTATTCATCTTTTCACTCTAATCCTTGATAAAATTTTAACAGTTGCTATGCAGGGCTGTGCAATGAAAGGGTAAAGCTGGCTGAGTACATTTGAACTTTTCTGCCAGTTTCTCAGGACACATGGGGTGCTGCATAATCTCCCTGTACTGAGATGGGCAGTAGGTATCTCTTGTAGACAAGGGAAAATGGGCTGTTCATAGAAAGTCAGAAATATTATTTCTGCCTATGTTTCTTGAACATCTCTGGCTACATACTAGGCTCCGTAATGGATGGAATTAACTCTCCTAACTCCAGGAGCTTAAGGTGTCCTATACATACATTATATACAACATAAAACTTGTAATCACCATAATGGAAGTATAAGCAACGGGTCACAGAGTATAAAAGAAGGCAAGATTAATCCATCACTCCCCACCTTGGGAGTAAATAGGAAGGAAATGTTAAAGAGAAGGTAGAATGTAATAGCTACTAGGTAGAATGTTGCTGAATTTAATTAGGTGGAGCTGGAAGGCCTTTCCCAGCAGGGCAGACACCTTGATTTTGATGGCATATGTAGGTCCATGCTGACTACTGCATGAGTTTTTAATTGATACAGTAACAGTGGAATTTCCCTTATCAAAATTTACTAACAGTGAAGCCCTTATTTCATAATCTATTGTCTTAGTATGATATATAGTACTTCTAAGTACAAATCAAGCTCTTGTGAGATAAAGACAGCAGAATTGTGTTGTCGAAAAAACCACAAGCCAGGTAGAGCCACGTTTAAATCCAGCCTATGTTGCTTCATGGCTGGCTGGCTACAGGCATGTAACTTAAACTTGCTGAGCCTCAGTTTGCCTCATCTATAAAGTGGGGATGCCACCACCTGACTTCCAGGGGTATGAGGAATTAAAGATTAACATACATGGAATCATCTAAATTTAGATATGTTCATATGTAGTTACATGACTGAATTTTAATTTTTCCAGGTCCTGGTTTGCGTCCACCACTAGGCGTAAGAGAATATGCACCAGGCCTTCCACCAGGAAAACGGGACCTGCCTCTTGACCCTCGAGAATTCTTAGCAGGACACGCACCTTTTAGACCTTTAGGCTCTCTTGGCCCAAGAGAGTACTTTATCCCTGGTACCCGATTACCACCCCCAACCCATGGCCCCCAGGATTATCCACCTTCCTCTGCTGCAAGAGACTCACCGGCTTCCGGCTCCAGAGGTGAGCCCCCGCCTGCCTCTCAGAGCACTAGCCAGGGCTGTTCGCAGGCTTTCAAACAGAGCCCATAACTGACCTTGGACATTTAGTCTGAGAGAAAGTGGACTGTGCACTGTTCATGACAGTAGAGGATTTTCACTGGCTTCAAAATCCAAAAGTTGATTTTAAAAGGTTTGTTTTTAGAACTAAGCTGCCCTGGCAGTGTGCATTTTTGAGCCAAACAGTTAAAAAATATCATTTCCCCTGCCCCAAAGTAAAAATCACCTTGTAAGCTAGAGCCTCCTTAAAACTTTGAAATGTGCAATAAAGAATACCTGTGTTTTAGTTAATGTAGCATATGTAACTGCTAAATGATTTAGGATGTCGTGAAAAATATGAACATTTCCTGTGGAAATGCTATAAGAACATGTATTTCCATTTATTATCCTATTTTTAGTGTACACCAGTTGAATACAGAGCAACCGTATTTATAAGCTTGATTTTTAAAAAATATCTGGTCGCAACGACTGTTACGCTAAAAATGTTTACTAAAAGATCACTAAACTTTTATCTCCCCTCTTGCTGAAGTTCTTTGTAGTAACAGTTCATAAAAATTTGGTTATTAATATTTCCCAAGTGTCTGTTGATTCATTGTTTTCTCACGAGACTTGTACCATTTTGGAAACATGTAAACTCAAGCTCCCAGAACTGAAGATGGTGACCTGGCAGCACACTTCCCTGGCTCACCGCTCCTGAGTTCAACCTCAGAGTCACCGGGAAGCACCACAACTGATACGTCTTCCTTCTACTTCAAAGAAGTCAGTTCGCCAGTTTGGACAGCATTCACGTGCTTTCTGTGGCTCTGCCTGGTTGAGAATGGTTTTCTGAGTATGCGTTTACATGTAGCAAGAATTGTTTGACCTGATATTCTGTTGCTTTTACCGTTCTTGCGTTAGGGTGCATAACAGAAAAATGAAAATGATGTGTCATGACCATAAAAGTAAGAAAATTTCTTTAAAAAACGTAGAGAGTCTGTTATTTCTCCTATACCTTGCCGCTGACTTTCAAGGAATATGGCAAAAAACGGCAAAGAGTAGGTAATACGATGAGAAAGAATGATTTAGGATTGTGAGGCTCGTAACATGCCCTAGGTCAGCAACCATGGGCTGAACTCAGTTCTTTTTGTTGATTGATCCTATTCCAAAATTCATATTTGAATACTGGCACTTATATTTAAAAATCAGTAAATCTGAGAAGCTAGGATTGCATCATACTTGCTATACCCATTACTTGTACCAGGTCTTTTCAACAATGTTTCTAAGAACTAACTCATCAGACACTTTAAACTATAGTAACTTTGTAGCACATTTCAAGAAGTTTAAGATTTCAATTAAATCAGAATTATAAAGGTTGACATCGTTGTTCACGGCTAGATCAATCTCTCGCATTCTCTGAAGTTCTGTGATGTAATGATACTACTGAAGTCTGCACCGTGACTTGTCACCATTAGGATATTTAATCCTCTTAGAATACCTTATAAGATAAAGCAAATGCTTCACTGTGAAACAAAATTTTTTCTTTATACTAAACTAAAAGATGCCACTTTAGAAAGATACGGACCGTTGAAAGAAGACAACGCTTCCAAAGTTCATAACGAATACATAAGGAGTTTTTCAGGAAAAGAGAATTCCATCTCTGTGTCCTGTTTATTATCAAGAATAGAAGAAATTTAAGAGGAAAACTCCATACTTAACAGCATAGGTTATTTTTAACCATGTAAAATAAAAAGATTAAGTCACAAATACAGGTTTTGAGTATATCAATCTCTTCAGGACGTGAAATAATAGTGAAGTTAAGATAAATTTTTTAAATAGTATTTAAATATAGATTACACCAGTTAGGAAGATAATATAGTAGCAAAGGTAAATTCAATCTATTTCAACATCAAATCCTGGAGTCTTTTTCTTTTTCTTTTTTAACCTCTAAAGCCTTTTTGGTGTTTATTCTGCGTTTCATATTGAGTTGTAGAGAACTGCCACCTCTGGCTTAGCCGAGCGGCCCCAGACTTGCCGTCCCTGCCGCCTCTCAGAGCCCTCTGTTTGCACCCCTTCGGCAGCCCAGCCCAGGCAAGCTGCCAATTTGGAGAGGGTGTGGGGGGCATCACCCTGAGTCACATCAGCCCCAACTGGCTTGAAAATTACGTCTGTTTCAGAAGTCATCTCCAGCTAACTGACTGTCTTTCTGGGCTTAGTTGCTAAAGTCATCTCAGTTACGGAGCAGCAGCGTTTCAGCCTGGAAGTCTGCTGTGGTTGTGGTTACTATTCAATGGCTGATCTTTTCATAGAAAAGTAAATAATTTGTGGGATGTGGAGTATTCTGCGTCTACTGCTTCGAGACAGTCGCTCGTTTTGTTATTTCATTCAGGTATGAATTACAAAGCTAAGCTAATCAGCCGTGTTCGATTTAAGCTTCTTTAACACTGATGAAAGGCATTTGTAGTTCATCTAAACCATACTTTTGTGAATGACAGCAGATGTGACAAACTATCACCTTGATATACATGTCTTATGGTCTATGAGAAAAGAGAAAGAACAATGTATCAGTTTTGCTACATTTTAATGGTAGGTTTTTTAAGGGATTATTTTTAGGTCTTGTCAGCAACATCAAACAAAAGGTACTGAGTACTCCACAGGGTACAGAGCGCTGCCAAGCACCTCAGAAAATGTACGTGACATGGAGAACGTGTGGTTCTTGCCCCCTGAGGAGCTTACAGTCTGGGGCGGGCAGGGCACGGGGCTGACAACTCACAGTCTAAGAGTTGAGTGAACAACAAAAGTAATTTATTAAGGCAAATTCCTCATCCCCTCAAGCTACTGTGGATGGAATCATCTGGAATTAAACTAATCAAGAGGGAAGCAAGACTAAATTGGGTTGAGAATTCTTCAGGCTCATATAGTTTTTTAACATCCATCATAGTAAACAGAACTGACCTAACAGACAACTGAAAGTGGAGACTAGATCTCTTGAAGTGCAAGGGCTAGAACTTAATTGTGGTTACTTATTTTAAAAAGCAAACATACTGAACGGTATTGACTAGGCTTATTACACGAGTTTAAAAGTAGGCCAAGTACTGGCACTGCGTTCCCCTCATGCTAGCATTGGTCATTTAAAATAGTGAATATTAAATATGTGGGCTCCACACCTAACCCAGAGAATGCCCACCCCAAATCTTAAATGTTCTGTGTATCAAATATCCACCTTGTGTGTTCTATGAAAGTTTTATTTATGCCCCATTATTAAGTCAAAAGAATGTAAATAGTCAAATTATAAAAAGCTAATGACCTGCAATATTTCCATATGGATGAATGTCAGTATATCTACATAGGAAATAAATGGCAATCCTATCTACCTATATAAAAAAAAAATAGAATATCTCCAGATTTGCATACTCATCACTACAAGAAGAGGTATGCAGGTTTTAAGGTTTCACAATCAGTTGTCAGAAAAACAGCAGTTATTCCTGCGGTATCTTGTTAGCATCTGACTCAAATTATTTTTAGATTACACGATTTAGAAGACATAAACCCACCAAGAATTTGTAATTATTCTGAGATGGTTCCATCACTAACCCCAGAATCACTATCAGAAAGAGTAACGATGTGATGTAGAAAAAAGCTAATCAACATGACTAAAAATATGCTCACTTTCAGAAAAACGATCCGGTCATCTGGAAAAATCACAGCTACCACCTGCGAACACGCCCATACGGGATACTGATTTGGCCAAGGCACACTATTTCTAAGCAGGAGAACCATGAGATCAGGGTGAATCAAGGCCGTCTCTGAGGAGCAGCCTATAAATTTCCAGACTGACCTTGGGCAGCATAATTGGTCCAATTCCTCTCAAAGCAGTCTCATACTGTCCTACCCACATCAACCCAAAGTTTGACATTAACTCAAAAAACCGAAGAGCATATTGGAACAGAAGTGGACAGGTGTGTAAACTCTAGCACACTCTTATTGCTGTATTAAGTGTGAAGGTGAGCACATTCCACCCACAACAGTGTCGTTCCAGGAAGCAGGGCAGGAATAGTGGCAAATTAGAAAAGAGGCTATTCATTGCACAATTAATAGAAAAGTGAAAATGTTTTAAGATCTACAATTAAGCCTGTATCCAAAGGAGTCTTTTCCATCAGTGACGTGCTGGACTTTGAATTCTGTGCTACAGCTGTGTAATGGACTCACTCTGGCCTGCTGGCCTGGGTACGGCTTGCTTCCTGCCTGTTGAAGGGCGAATGTGCTACACAGAGCTAGGATGGTTTCTACTGAGTGGTAAGATTCACAGAAGTTCCAGGGTATTCATGTCAGGATCATTCCTTGTGCAAAGTTTGATGCAGATGAAGATAAAGTGGTTTCTTGGTCAATAACTGCAATTTCTTTCTTTTAAAGTCAGTGGGTTTCTTGTATCTGTAACCACAATAGAAAAACCATTGATAACTGATCTATTCCAAGGTGACATATTAAGAAGAGAGAGCAGTCACCGTTAAATTAGTACTAATTCTGAACGTGCATCACTTACAGTTCTATTACAATTGGCCCAGGTTTAATTTCATCCATCTCCATGAAAGCAAAACACTTGGTGCTGGTAAACCTTTTTTTAGGCTTGTAGTGTTTGAATTCAAAGAAAATAGCTGCACCTAAGGAATTAAAGCAAAGCAGATTAGCCACAGACAGCACATTTCTAGTGTCAATAAATTTTCTTTGATCACCAGAAGCCTATGAACAAGCAACAGTTGTCATAATTTCACAAAGTAACCTCTGTCAAACAATCTCTCTGATGATACGACTGACTATGGCTGTCACCCCAAAACTCATCTGGACCTGAATAGAGGGACATGTCTCCGTATCATCCTATTCTACAGAGCAGAGCAAAACTTCTCGAGCCAGAATGACTCAAGAATGTAAATAAGTTCATCCACAGGTAGAATTATAAAATATTAAGAATAGAAAATACTAAATACTACCAAAAAACCCCCACAGAAGATACTTGTTAAGTATTAACATTACTCATAGAAACGCATTAAGTAGAAAAGGCATGTAAAAGAGTTCATCAAAAAATCCAAACTTAAATAGTTTCTCGAAACAAAAACTCAAAAATTCAGTTTTTTGGAGTTTGGAGTCTGAACAACAGCTCGTTCAGTTTTTAAATGTTAACTGCTTCCTAATACCTTTCTCAGTGTCCAAAGCCCTGTTTTGTTTTTCCTGGAATGACATGTGCTTGTGTGAAGACAGCGCTGAGCAAGACAAGGGCTTAGAGAGCACGCCTATCCCACCCCTCCCCCAGTGAACAAATGGTGATGAAACATGTAGATAGTTTTCTCTCCCCAAAGCCCAACAGATAAGCTCTCTCCCCCTCCCCACAGAGAAAAGCTAAAAACAGAATAATAAATCGCCTCCTCTGTGTAGCCAAGAACAATTAATTTCTAAAGGCAACGGAAGAGACGGAAGGACGTCAGGGTCTCCCTGTTATCTGGCTCCTTATTAACAAAGGCTTAACCAGAGCGGTGCTGGATCTTGCTTTGCTTTTAAAGATAACTAACATACATCTAATACTTTCACTGATGACAAAACTCACAAGTGACCAGAAGTTTAACAATGTTCAGAAATGTGTGCGCAGCCCTGGCACCTGGGTCCAAACGGAGCGCTTCACATGTCGAGGAAGGAAAGAAAAGCCAATCACTTAGGAGACAAAGGGATGTGCGTGAGGGAGAGATGGGCGTATTTATTTATTTATTTGCCGAGCCGCGTGGCTTGCGGGATCTTAGCTCCCCGACCAGGGATTGAATCCGGACCCCAGCAATGAAAGTACCAAGTCCTAAGCACTGGACCGCCAGGGAATTCCAGAGATGGGCATATTTAGCATCTGCTACCAACACACACGAAAGGATTACAATTGTTAGGTTACCGGTGACCTCGGTCCCCAGGTGTATGACCCTGCCATGTCCACAAAAGAGTAGCTTCTCTTCTCCCTTCCACGGCAATAACAGAGGCATTTTATTATTTAAAAACCTCATAGATCTTTAAGATAGCAGATCACATTTCTTAGTCTCTTCAGCTATGGAACCCATCTCCTTGTCATCGTGATTGTGTCTGAGGTCTGAATAAATGTGAAAATAAAGTCACATTTGAAAACAGCATTAAAGTCCAAATATGATACCATCATTTTAAGGAAGTTAAAAAAATTTTATTACTCATCTGCATCATCTGTAGATAATATATTTCCTGCATTGCTGGTATGCACAGCTCTATACTTCATGGCATTTATAAGAAAGGACAAAATGTAAAATGAGAATAGCCTAGGAAGATTAACTTAAATGCTTATAAACATAAAGTATACTCATTAGCATTAGTCTCAGTTAAAATGACAGTCACTGTACATAACAGATTCAAAGCTGGAGAATAAAGAGTCACATTCTGAATATAGTTCTACTTTTAGCATCACAAACCTTTGGTTAATTTTTCAACATGCTTCTGGAGCTCAATGTCCACATTAAAATGAACATACGTATCTTCTTTTCTTGAAGCCACGGGAGTATCCTGCACAGGAGTTAAATCTATGCCATTCAGATCTAGAGAGGAAAAAACAGTTTCTGCTTCGAGCCTTCAAATACAAAGACGTAAAAACTGCAAAGGGTTGTGTTTCCTGAAGAGGCAAAAGCCGAGAGGAGATTCTGAGGCCAATAAAGACCCACGTCTGGGGTGAGCAGGTACCTGAAGGTGGCTGTTTCCAGGGTCATGTGCAGGGCACGGAGTAGAGAGGGTGGGAGACCCCCATGGATAGGAGGAAGCCGCCTTACACATCACAAAATTGGATCCTTCCTAGTTAAGAGGTGTCTTCTGATGACACAGGCCAGTATAGTTTTGTGAATTACATTTGGGGACGTAATATACCACAGTGGTGCTCCTACCCGTTTCCCAACCTTGATCGCGTGCATGACACGGAAAGGCCTATAAATCTAACATTATCAGAATTCCCCTGCTGTATTCAAGTCAGAGGACCAAACAATGGACACGACAGCTGCCAAGGAAACCTTTCCACGAATGAACACTTCTTACATATATTACTTAAATTCTGGTTCCATTTGCTGTAACATAAGCTGATTTACAATAACCAGATGGCACACTATGCATGGTATACTGCTGCAATCTCTGGAGCCAGGAATCATCCAGTTTAATCTAATTCAACACAGACTCATTTAATGACTACTCAGTGTTCATGTATTATTCAACAGACCCATCTTAGGGACCTTAAAGCAAGAGAGTATGTTTGATTACTTCAGTTCCTAAAGATATTTAAATAAAACATGTTTCAGTTCAACCATATGCAAAGGTAACATAATATCTACATTTCATTACATTTTTTCGTATTTTACAGTGTTCGCTCCTGAATGAGAGATGTAGTTTTGTGTAGGGTGTAAATACTTTCCAGTAGACCATGGATTTGAGAACCAGTAACATCAGAAGTTAAAGTATCACAGCATTAGTGCTATGGATCACGGTCTCTCCATGTTAAAACTTTTGCCTGTGGCCAAAATCCTTTTTCTTTTATTTGGTACTAATGAACCCATGGGTCTGAATATTTCTATGATCGGTAAAAGTTCCCTCCATTTAATTTCAGTCCATACCTGTTTGATTTGTCTCAAACTGCAGGTTTATTAACTGCAGACTGGATTAACTGTGCAGTTATTTCTGAATAATAGCATGACAACTTCATCTTCAATCACCCAATAATTACTTTTAAAAGACTGCTGAGTGCTTTACAAATAAAGTGCTGTATAAAATGCTTGGCAACGACAAAACAGTTCAATCACTGTGGCTTCCCTCTTAAACCAATGACCAAAAAAGTTGTTTTCAAGGAAAAAAATGGTTTGCCATTGGATAGAAAAAAACAAATCCTAAGAGTAATCATGCTTAATAATGACGGTAACATAGTTAAGTATAAGAAATACATCACTCGTCTAATGTCCCGCAGGATTATGTTCAGGGCACGGATGTTTACGGACGCGTCCTATTTCCCTGTCTCCACTCATGACTAACTGAAGGCCTGATTCTCATCCACCTCTGCACAGCTGTCCTATGTACAAACCTCTCTTGGACAGGAACGAGAGGACCTGAAGCGGAGGCGTGGGAAAACAGAAGAACACTGGGCTTTGCAAAGAAAACCACACACCCTTGGAAGGTGGGGGACATTTTTTAAACCTGTTTTCTGAAGGATGCATCTGCTGTTAAAGACAGTGTGTCTGTCTAGTCAGCACCCTTGACAGAATTTTAAGAATAAAAAGATATACACAAAGAAAAAGCTAAAAGCAAATATGAGTGTAAGTTATGGATAGGGAAGTATTTTTAGTAAATCTCTCAGAAATATTTGGTGAGGGAATGATGACCACCTCTTCCCAGGGATTTCGCCTCACTGTAAAATCAACTAAAATAAGTTGTCACAGATATAAAACATCCCCTCCCTCTCCCCACCAAAAAAGTTCCAAATGAGAAGCAACATTATAAAATTCCCCAGAGGGAAGATAGATATACATAGTTATTTACCTTTTACACTAACTGTGATATAGGGATCAATGCATTGCCCAGCATCTTTCAGGCCAATTTTCTCAATTCTGATAGTGAGTAATGTCATTCCTGGTTCTGATGGCAACCTTGGTAATAAAGTACCTGGCAACGGAGAAATAGCAATAAAAATGAGCTCCACCAATAATTTCAAAGTAAATATTTTAACAACATAGAGAAGATATAGCTTTGCTCTTAACTGGCTTAGTAACTAGCCAGGCATCATTTTGGTTTCCAAAACGTACAGACACTTGATGTTATTCTTCTCAGACAAATGCTTAATTAGAAACAAGATACATCTACACCTCCATACTTCATATTCAACACTAAAGCATAAATTACTAACTCAAGTTTGTTAAAATTCCAATCCAGGAAGCCCAATTACAAATTACCACATAATTGAGAATGTACATAATATATATGCTTCACATTTACTCCTATATAATATACTCCATATCTCAACATGAAGTGGTAGAACAAGGACACAAAAAGCTTTATAAACATTTGTTATGTATTTCTAAAGTTTGAAAAATTCAATACCAGAATCAATAAATCTTTCAGCTACTATTAATCTTTCAGGAAATAACTTAATATTTATATATTTAATTGAATAACTTTACAGTGTAATTTCCCACTCCTTTCTTCATCCTATTCTGTATGCTCTATCCTCTCAGAAATCAGTCCTACTGAGAAGGCCACATAAAACCACAAAAGTAATTGTATGTTTGAAATCTTTTCCATAGATCAATTAAATTTTTTAAAACTGAAAAACCACCCAGAACCACACAAGAGCATTCCCCACCAAGAAAATGACGTGAAAAAAGAAATCGACTGTAGTTTGTTCATTTATTTCAAATAATTGATGAAGAACAGATGCAAACAAAAGTTGATTTTAATTTAATATGTATACAGTACCACAACTTACAGAATCTAACATTTATAAAGGACTTTGGTTGACACTCTTCAAGTTTCTATCCAACAATGTGTTATTCTACTTTTAATGAGGAAGTATTTGAAGTACATGAATCAATCAACTTACCATGTTCAAAATATATTATCAATACATTTAACTGACTGCAATGTGCTAGAGGGAATTTCAGGGGGCAATGAAAATGTTCTCAAATTGGATCACACTGATAGATGCACAACACTATAGATTTATCAAAAGTCACTGAATTGTACACTTAGAATGAGTGAATTTTATGACCTGAAAATTACTATAGAAATCCAAGAGTCTTAACTGGTGATATCTGTTAAAATTTTTTTTTGACTAATGACAAGGTAGAAGTATAAAAAGCAGAAAAACCAAAATGGGACATTCAAAGCAGTATTTAATACTGTTTCAAAATTATACTTTTTCACATGAAATATTTTGCCATATTTCAACACATTTTCAATTTTCACAAGTTTTCTTACATTAAAGATAAAAGGTCTTTACTGCACCCACTGTCTATTCTTTAAAAAAAATTTAAATTGCGAATCTAACACATATTCAGAAAAGCAAATAAAACGAGTGTACAGCTTAATGAAATGCCGGAAAGCAAGCATCCATGTAACCACCAATGAGGTCAAAAAATAAAGCATGACCTCAGGAGTCCCCTTCTATCCCCACCCAATGCTCTTCTGAATTCCTCCTCACTACCCTGGCTTTTAAAATCACTACTAAAAAGCAACCCTGTATAATTGTTTTGTCTGCTTTTGAACTTGAGATTTATCCAATTGTTGTCAGTTTCTGTAATTTGTTCATTTTTATGATTTTCCAGAATTAGTATAATATAGAGGTTGTACAAATACACCAGTTTTTGTATCCATTCTTCTGTTGACAGGCATTTGAGTTGCTTCAAGTTTTTGGAAATTGTTAACAAAGCTGCTGCAAACATTCTTGGATGCATGCTCTGCTCCACCTATGCACACATTCCCCAAGGGAGGACTTACTGAGTCACATGATATACCACCTTCATGTTTGCTATGTAATTACAAACTATTTTCCAAAGTGGTCGTGTCAGTTTCTGCTCCTAGTACAATCTCCATTGTTCCACATCCTCACTAACACTTGGGAGTTGTCAGGTTCTTCTTTTTGGCCAATTTAGGTGTAGAGAAATACCAATCTAGTCTTAAGCTCATTTTGCCAATGATTAATGAGTTGAGCACCTTTTCATTTAAAAATAAGCATTTGTATTTCCCTTTTCCTAAAGTACCTATTCAATTATTTTGCCCACTTTACTACTGAAATGCTCACCTTTTAAAAATATATACTATTTATTTATTTATTTTGGCTGCGCTGGGTCTTAGTTGCAACATGCAGAATTCTTAGTTGTGGCATGCATGCAGGATCTAGTTCCCTGACCAGGGATCAAACCCGGGCCCCCTGAATTGGGAGCATGGAGTTTCACCCACTGGACCACGAGGGAAGTCCCTGAAATGTTCACCTTTTTCTTAGTGATTTGTAGGAGTCCTCTAATATTTTGACATAAGCTTTTTGTTGGATACGTGTTTTACAAATAATTTATCAGTGGCTTTCCTTTTTTAAAAAAAATCTGTATAGTGAAGGGTAACATATTAAAATGTGTACAAATTCTAGGCACAGCTTAATGAATTTTCACAAAGTGAACACACCTGTGTGACTAGCACCATATCCAGGAAAGAAAGATATTACCAGCATACTAGGAGCTTGACTTGTGCCCCCAAATCACTCTCTCCCAAGAGATAACAGCTATTCTTGACTTTTAATACCAAGATCAGTCTTTGCATGTTTAGAATGCCTTTTCTGTTTATGGTGTCTTCTGATTATGGTAAATTCTTAATGTTAACGTATTCAAATTTCTCAATCTCTAAATTCCTTTAGAGTCAGTGCTTTCTGTGTCCTATTCAAGAAATCTTTCCCCACTCCAAGGTCATGAAGGTATTCTTGTAAGAGCTTGTTTGTTTTGCCATTCACACTTCATTCTATAATCCACACAGAATTAATTTTTGGCTATGGTGTGTGGTAGGAGCCCAATCCCATTCTAATCCACATGGACACTCAATTGTCCCAGCACTACTTACTTAATAGACTGTCATCTCACCCATGTATCTGCAGTGGCATTTTGATCATAAATCAAGTGTGGGTCTCTTTCCGGGCTCCCCATTCTCTCATTGGACTATTTCTTACCCTTGCACCACTACCGTAAGTGTCTTACTATAATTTTACAAAAAGTCTTGACATTCGGTAAAGCAAATTCTCCCGCCTTGACATTATTCTTCAAGAGTCTTAACTACTTTTAGCCCTTTGCATTTCCATGTAAATTATAACACAACAGCTGTCAAGTTCTTAAAAAAAAAAAAACAAAAAAACACAAAACATCAAATAACAAAAACACTGTTGGGACTGCAGTGAAGTTCAGATCAATTTTAGAAACAGTCACATCTTTACAAATTGCTTCTTCCAACCCATGAACTGGAATATATTTCTCCATTTATTTAAGACTTCTTAATTTCTCTCAATAAAGTTTTACTGCTTTCTTCACATGGGTCTTATACTTCTCATTGGATTTATTAAACTATATTGATATTTTCTGATATTATCATAAATGTTATTTCATTTTCTAAGCAACTGTTGATCGTTTATAAAGATAAAATCAATTCTTTTTTGGTACATAATTTTTAAAAAATCAAGGTACAATTCACATACAACATTATATTAGTTTCAAGTATACAACATAATGATTTGATATTTGTATATTGCAAAATGATCACAATAAGCCTATAGAATCAATTCTTACGTACAGATTTTACATCCAGGAACCATGCTAAACTCTCTTACTATCTTTTTTTTTCTTTTAATTTTTATTTACTTTTGGCTGCATTGGGTCTTCGTTGCTGTGCGCAGACTTTCTCTAGTTGTGGCGAGCGGGGGCTACTCTTCGTTGCAGTGCACGGGCTTCTCATTGCAGTGGCTTCGCTTGTTGCAGAGCACAGGCTCTAGGCGTGCGGGCTTCAGTAGTTGTGGCTCGCGGGCTCTAGAGTGCAGGCTCAATAGTTGTGGCCCACAGGCTTGGTTGCTCTGCGGCATGTGGGATCTTCCCGGACCAGGGCTCAAACCCGTGTCCCCTGAATTGGCAGGTGGATTTTTAACCACTGGACTACCAGGAAGCCCCTCTCTTACTATTTCTAATTATTTACCTATAGGCGCTTTTGCATGTTCTACACACATATTCATAAAATCTACAAATAATTTTTATCTTTTACTTCTGTTTTTGGTCCTAGTGCACTGATGAAAAGAGGACATAGTAGGCACTATGTCTTGTTATTGATCTGAAAAGGAATGCTTCAAGTATGATTTTGGCTCAAAGCATCCCTTAGAGAACACCCAGAGAACTGTTCTGTTCTCAGTCTGCTAGAATTTTAAAAAATCACGAAGAGATTTAGAATTTAAACCTTTCTGCATCTATTCAGAGGATTATGAGATTTTCCTCCTTAATCTGCTAATGTGAATTGCCTTGACATATTTTACTTATTGAACAATATGTTCTGAAAAATCATCAGTTCATGGAGATTTTCCTGATTATTATCTATAGTATTATACAGTATTATTCAGCTAACCTACATATGGCAGTTAGGTTGTTTCTAATATTTTATTATTACAGATTACACCATAATAAACAACCTGGCGCATATGCAAATATTTTCTTCATATTCTTAGAGGTGTATCTTGAGAATAAATTCCTAGAAGTGAGATTGCTGGGCCTAAGAGTAAATGTGTACTTCTGATGTTATTGTTAAATATTGCTGAATTCCCCTCCAAAGGGACTGTACTATTTTGTATTCCTACCAGTGATGAATGAGCATCTGTCACAGCCTAAGCAACAGTAGTTTTAATTTGCATGTCTCTTATTATAAGTTGAGTATCTTTTCATATGTTTAAGGGCTATTTGTACATCTTTGTGTGTCTGTATGTACGTGTGTACTGTCTGTTCATGTCTTTTGCCCAGTCTTTTAATGTGCTTGTTGGTTTTTGTTGTTGCAACTTAAAATTTTTATTTATATATTAAGGATGTTAGCCCCTTGTCTTTTTTACTTTGACTATGGCTTTCTTTCTTTGACAGTCAAAAGGTAATTTCTTATCC